GACAGGGTGCAAAATTTAGAAATTTCAGGTTCTAAATTAAGAAACAGTGTTAACTACGTTTGTAGTAAATTTACGGTATGACAGTTTTATGAATGGGATAAATCCCTAGGGAAGCATGATTATTAGCGGGAACATATTTACTACTAAATTTTCATTGGCTACAAGTCCTGTCGTGTGAACAAGGGCAGTGTTACAAAGCTACATGTATTTATATTTATTTAATCGGAATATCTTTCACTGGTGAGTTTTTGTTTTATTTTATTTTTCTATCAATTTTAAACTACTGAGTATTTGTTACTTTTAATATGTATGATATTAACCTACAAAGACCTTTTAGTGCAACTTCATTATTTGAGTTCAGTAATTGACTATATTTGATGATATTTGGTCTGGAATAGAAAAATGAATCTATATTATTTTCCCTCGATTGTTTAAAACGTTTGCATACGAGGAGAGTATGGAATTCGTCACCTAAATCAGAAAAACAATTTAGACATTGCCTATCATTTTAATTGACATAGCTATTCCTCCAACGGCCAGTTTTGATGGGAAGTTTATGATTTGCTGTTCTAAATTTCAATAGTTTCAGACCTTGGTTCATTGGTAAAATATTTAGATATTTTTCAAATGTTAGTTACAATACTATTAGAAATCAAAATGCTGCAAGTCGTCACCTTAGTGCAATAACGTAATAAGTTCTTCTATATTTAATTGCAGTTATTGAGTTATTGCACTAAGGTGACGAAGTGTTGTTGATTATATTATAACAAATATTAGTAATTTTACACTTTTTACTCAGATGGAAATCAATAGTCTTGCTGAATTCTCAGATCATTGTCCTATTACGTTTTCACTAAATGTTGAAAGTGATTTTTCTATAAAAACGATAACTTATCATATGATAAAATTATATGGGATAATACAGACAAAGAAGAGTTAGCAATGTTGTTGGATATCCATAAATATGTATTTGATGATTTAATAAGTAAATTGAGCTCTGATGCTATTGATATTGAAACCTGTGTTAATCATTTTTCAAAAACTGTGTATGACATTTCATATAAGATACATGGTAGAACTATTACAGCTAACAAACCTTAACGAATAATAAAAAAGCGCCCTGGTTTAATGAAGATTGCAGTTGGGCAAAATCAACTTTTCTTGACAAGAAAAGAGCATTTGGTATAAATAATGATGATAACAATAAAACTAACTTTCTTAACAGTAGGAAAGAATATTCAAAAGTGAAAAGGAATGCTTAGCGATCTTTCAATCTAAAAGATAGGTCTTAACCAGTAATATGAGTAAAAGCAGTCCACGTAAGTTTTTGAAACATATAAAAAAAGTTCAATAAATATAATAAAGTAAATTCTAATGATGTGAGTCCTATGGACTTTTTAAAACATTTCAAAAATATTTCAAATACAGTTCATTGTGAGTTTATGCCTGAAAATATAAATTCTGATCAAAGTAACGACATAAATATTAAATTGTTAGACAGCCCATTTACAGCTGAAGAAAACTATTTCTTCACTGAATAGGTATAAAAGTTGTGATATAAATAATAATGTTGCGGATTTTTCATTGACTCTAACAACTTTATTGTGCCATATCTTGTTATTATATTTAATAAAATAATTGACTCCGGCTTATACCGGAGTCGTGGTGTAAGGGTATTATAATACCAATACATATAAAGGAAGATACTAGTAAGCCGTCAAATTATAGGGGAATAACACTTGTAAACGTAATTGGTAAAATCGTTTCATTGCTGTTAAGAAATAGGTTGAATAAATGGTATAAACAATGTGATGTTTTTAATGGGTCACAGTTTGGTTTTAGAGATTAACATTCGAAAACTGTTGTATATTCATTTTACATTCGATTATTCAAAAGGTTTTATTTAATAAGTCTAAATTATATTGTGCTTTTATCGATTATGAAAAAGCTTTTGATTCTGTGATTCGGGATGCATTCTGGGTTAAACTTTTAAAAACGGGTATAAGTTGTAAAATGATTAATATTATTAAGCAAATATATACGAATGTTAAATCATGTGTTAGATTGTCCCGAAACATGAAACTATCAGAATTTTTGATGTCACTGTGGGCTTAAAGCAAGGGAAACCACTCTCCCCATTACTTTTTATTTTGTTCATAAATGATATAAATGAAAGTCTTGATTTTAACCTGTTAACTGAAAAAGATTAATAGTTGAGTATGTATATGTTATTTTTGCTGATGATATAGCTCTTTTTACCACTAGTCCTGATAATCTTCAAACGGAGAAGAATTCTATAAGACCTAGTCTTTCGTTCTAATCCTCTTCTTTGAATATTGTCAAATTTTGTATGTGTATATATTTCAAATGTTATTATGTACATATTCTGAGAATAAATATGTTTAAACTAATCTTCAAGCACAATTAAACATGGTTCAAAATTATTCTACAAAATGGGGTCTTAAAATTAATGTTAAAAAGACAAAAATTTGTATTTTTGAGAAAAGAAAACAACCGTGTAATTATGTTTGGACAATAAATGATGAAATTGTAGAAGTTGTTGATAATTTTACTTATCTTGGTGTAAATTTTACTTATACAAATAATTTGAAAAATTCTGTTAAAAATTTATCAGATCAAGCTCTCAAGGCTTATAATTCACTTTTACAATTGTTTTATAGAGTGAACTTAGATATTAAAACTAAACTAGCTCTTTTTGATTCTATGGTTGTACCAATAATTTTGTATTGCTCTGATGTATGGGGAATTTATGATTTTAAGGAGGTTAATAAACTTCATATCAAATTTTGTAAAATTGTTTTAGGTGTTAAACAACAAACTCCAAATGCTGCAGTTTTTGGCGAGCTAGGAAGGTACCCACTCTCTATTATTAGTAAAGAGAGATCATTACAATATTGGCTAAGAATAATGAATAATCAAAATTCACCAATGTATAAATTATATATTGAACAATGTAACATAAATAACAATAATTCATGGGCATGTAAGATTAAAACATTAGCAGATGACTTAGGATGTAGTTATATTTATTTAACTTCCTGGGTCAATAACAACTTTGCACCTATTTTAAAGCAGAGGTTACGAGATCAATATGTACAAAAGTGGCATGAATGTATAGAAGACATGTCCAAATTGGAATATTATAGACTATATAAACAATGTTTTGGTTTTGAAAAATATTTGGAATGTATTGATAAAGATAAATTTAGAAAATGCATGACAGGCTTTAGATTAAGTTCTCTTAGTTTATGACAGGCTCTCATAGTTTAGAAATTGAGGTCGGTAGATATCAAGGTATGCATAGAAATGAACGAATCTGTAAAGCTTGTAATATTATTTTTTTGAATCAGAATATCACTTTTTGTTAACGTGCCCTATATATTCTGAAATAAGAACACACTATTTAGGTAATTGTTCATGGCCTTGTAGGCAAAATTTTTCAAACATTATGTCCTGTAAGAGTAAGAATAAGTTATATAAAACTGTCAAATATTTGTATGAAGCATTTCAAATAAAGAAAAGATTTATCGATGTAGAAGCTGCTTCTTAACTTGCAATATATAAATACACTTCACTATACTGAAAATTTGTGACAATTTCTGTAGGTTATATGTTTATTTATTATGTACAAGCAAAAGTATTATGTACTGTTTATATGTTAATGTTGTCTTGGCCATATTCGTCACTTTGCAAATGTTAAATTGGCCAAAGGCATGTTATTATGCCGATTTGCTGAATAAACTGAACTGAACTGTGAACTCGGAAATTATGCTAACACCAACTTTTAATGGTATATAAATTATAAAGGTATTATGAAAGTGTGAATAAGCATGAGCTTGTACAATTACAATTGCGAAATTGAGCTTACGTTTATGTGGCAATTCGAAAGAATATATTCAGAGGAAAATCGTTCGTCCTCCATCTCTGGTTCATACATACTAATAGAGAAAAGGTCAGTCATGATATGGAAATTTGGGAAAACTCTGTTATATTAAAATATAGCCTGTGCTAAGCTTCCATTTGATTTGCTGTAGAGTAATATTATGTTGCAATGAAACAGAATAATTTATTTAAAAAAATGAAGTATTAGTCTACTCTCAATGTAAATGTTTTTCATGCATATAATAAACTGAAAATCAAATTTATCACCAGCCTGTACAGTTGTAAAAACCTTGGAAAATTGAGTTCAAGAATTATAAGCAGGGCTTAAATAGAAAAGATGATATTTAGTTTTAACTAAATTATCTAAGTATAAGATGATCTTATGACAAAATAGATTAATGTCAATATTTTAGGAATTGCTTGTCTTAAGCTTGAGTTCCAGAATTATAAGCAGGGCTTAAATAGAAAAGATGATATTTATTTTTAACTAAATTATCTACGTATAAGATGATTTTATGACAAAATAGATTAATGTGAATATTTTAGGATTGCTGGTCTTAAGCTTGTGCTTAACATAAGAGTGTCTACCGTAAAGTAATTGCTTACTTAAGTCTGGTAAATACCAACCTCGCTAAGTATTAGATGTATCAAATATGCTAGAACAGATATATTTTACAAGCACACTTATGTATATATTAATCAAACATTTATCATTAATATACCATTAATCATCACTCTACGCAATATTTTAACGACAATGAAAATATAATTATACCAATAGAAACATCTATCAGAATTTTTAAAATAAATTTTCAGCTTTCGTAATGTTTTTTATATTAATTGATTTCAATTTAACAAGAAAATTTGAAAAAAATATTGAAATGTTCGTCTGTTAGCATTGATACGGTTATTGTAAATACAATTTTGTTTGAAGGATACATAAGCACTAAAAAAGCACATAGTTTTAATTAACATAATAAAATAACCAAGTGGACCATTATTCTAATAAACAGTTCTATATATGCAAACGTTTAATGGATAAAGGTTGTGCTTTTTTAATTAAAGAGTAACATAATATATAAAATAAATATCCTTACCGTCTTTGAAATGCCTGAATCCCTGTCATGTTTACTATCTTGACCCTAAAAGACGAATTCAGCATTAAATTACTTAGTCTTTGTGAAAGATAGTAATACACAAATATGTCCAGTTAAGCATAAAGTTTCATGCGTATTATATGAAATGATTGTCAAAAGTTTAAACTAAAATGAAATAAACTAAATCTCTACTATAGAATTTAATAGCATCCCCAACATTAGAAACATAAGTTCGTATTTAAATTTGTAAAGGTATCAGGACAGTGTAAAATAGATAAATACAGAATCCCTAAAGAAAGCCCAACACGACAAAATTGAAAATTTTGCATTATATAAATTCACTTCACTGTAAGCATTATCGTGTACAAATACAATAGTTAAATTTAGATTCAAGAAATAAGATTATCTTACCGACATTGTGTTTCAAGATATACAGAGATTTCCAACCTGAAAGAAGAAATACCTGTTTCTAAAATCTTATAAATAAAACATAATTAATCATAAATTTTTATGTTAAAGTTTTTTTTATAGATATCCGCATGAGACCGATGATGTCATAATTATATTTAAAAACATGCAACCCCTTTTGTGAATGAAAATGGTTTCAGATCAAACTAGTAGCTAATTAAAAGTATTGGTTTAAGTAGTACCAAACAGTTGGTAAAGATTTAACGTAACATTTTTCTTTCTAAATCCCAGAATTGTACTATGTTTTTCTTCTTATAACGGTAAGTTAAGAATCTTGGCATGTGCTCAATAGTAAAGCCCGCTTATAACGATATTAAGGGACTTCCAAATTTATACAGTTATACCCGGAAATCGTAAAATCCCAAAGGGTCGGAACCGTGACAAGAGCATCGTTATAAGCAGTATATCGTTGTTAGCGATATCAGTATAAGAGAAGTTCACTGTATTATACAATTATGATTTTTTATGAAGATGCGAGGTTACATAAAAAAGGAAAACATTTACTTGATGCCAATTTTGATATAAACTACAAGTAGGAATGTGTCCACTTTTAAACATATGTGTCCTAGTATGAATTATAGCTTGTGTCTTATGACATCGAAAAAGTCAACGCTGACATGTTATTTATTTCCAATATTTCATAATCAAAGGGTCTGCTCCCTTGAAGAATTGTTCATCATCTTCAATTGATAAACAGAGGATAGCAAAGAACATCAATATTGTATACAAATTATCATTAAGCTGGAACACTGTTTAGATGCTGTTTTATTTTTTGCAGCAGTTAATTAAATTAGTTTGATGTCAGTTGTTTTAAATCTTTTTCCATTATTAATTTAGCGTATGCGTTTCATGTTTTAAATATTCTATGATATAGAACAGGATCTGTTTTTAAGGTTTCTTTTGAGAAATAATGTTTTGATTTGCCAATGGTAAGGAGACAAACAATGATTATACGTCTTAATAATAGGAGTATAAAGAACGTCGAAGATTTGCTTATAGCTGTAATTGCCACCTTTTAGGACTCAATAGATATTTATTCGGTCTTTAGGCTCTTTTTAGTTCTTATAAATGCGAACGGTGTCGCTGAAAATCTTCATAGCGTAACAAAACATTTTTTTCCTGACGACAGCTCTTTATCTGCCGACCGTGAAACTATGAATAAATAGTTTAAACAATGGATGACTTATATTAACCTAAAACTTTTAACATTATGTGCCAATTCATTTTTGATCCCCTTTGAAACCATATAGCTATATTCTTGGCGACATGACTACCTCCTTCACGACAAAGCTGTCTCGCAGAATAAATATCCTATATTTTCTTTAATTAATAACTTTTGTTCTGATTTAAATTTTATTTTGCCACTAGACCTTATATCTACTTGATACATATTCGTTTTTAATCTGAATCGCTGTTTAGATGAAAATAGGAGGAAAAATAATATGTTTCAGGATGAAACTGTCCATTGCAACGCTATATTCACCAACTGGGAAACGCCGATACAACTTCATTTCAAAATACAATTTTATCAACTTTACGCTTGTTGGAAACTTTAATCAAATCTATATGTATAGAATTCTTCGAATTTCGAATTTTGGTGTATAGTTTTCAAAAAATAATGTTGAGTGCATTCACGGATTTATATAATTACAGCTCTAACCTGGGACATAAGATAAGTTATCTTATCTCCCAGCTCTAACATAAACCCGTTTAAAATACATAGCTACCATTTAATCAAATCGCTAAACGATCTAGCTAAAGTTGTTAAAAAGTAAAAAGGTCATAGAGCTTACCTTGTGCGTGATAAATTATATATTGATCAATAACGTACTAAATTCACCATACTCGGATTAGGACAAAAGAGAAGAGTGTGAACTTTCAGTAATCTCATGGAATGTTGAAGGACTTAAAAGAATTTAAAAATATCACTGATATAACTGCTGAGGATTTTTATGATCATTTTAAAGGTTTATTTTCTGGTACTGATGTATATTGTGATCAGGCTATTGAAGAAGTTCTAAATCAAAATGTAAATTGTTATGTTGATTTTCTAGATTGTGATTTTACAATTGACGAGGTTATTAAAGCTATTGATAAATTAACAAAGGCAGAAAAGTGCTGGTGAATACTTATTCATACCAGAAATTTTCATTGACTCAGAACATATCTTATCCTTTATTTTGTGTAAATTATTTAACTATATATACAATAAGGGAGATTACCCTGAATCTTGGACAAAAGGTATATTGTTAAGTTATGATTTATCATCTAAGTTTATAAACATGTTAAAAAGTATGTACAATAATGTTAATATATGTGTCCGTTCCAATGGTAAATTGACTGAATATAATGATAGTTACAACGGTGTTAAGCAGGATGAGACGTAATCTCCCCTATTGTTCATACTGTTTATAAATGATATGGAAAAGAGTGATAGAAATGCTGATTTAATATCCTTAAACGATTTGCAAGTTTTCATGTTACTTTTTGCTGATCATACAGTTTTATTTTCCTATTCTGTAGATGGTTTGCAAACTTTAATGAACAAACTACATGCTTATTGTTTGAAATGGAATATATCTGTAAACAGACGTAAATCATATATTATGATCTGTAAATTAGGTAATAGGCAAGAACATGTTGATGTATATTACGATAACACACGTTTAGATGTTCTAAGTAAATTTTGTTATATAGGTGTAACATTGTCTGCAAATGGTAATTTTTTGACGCTCAAAAAGCTTTGTCAGAACAGGTTTTAAAAGTTTTTTTTTACATTAAATTCTTTATTTGAAGCTGTACCTCTTGGTATAAGTGAAAAACTCAAGTTTTTTTACTCAATGACACTGCCAATATTAAATTATGGTTGTGAGATCTGGGGATTTCACAAAGCCCCAGATATGGAAAAGGTTTATATTAAGTTTTTAAAACCATTTTGAATGTTAAGTACCAAACAACGAATGCAACTGTCTATGGTGAGCTTGGTAAAGCGCCTCTTGATATCTTAAGAAAAGAAAGAATTCTTAAGTATTGGTGTAAGATTGTTAGGTCTCCGGATACATTAATTCATAAATGTTTTATGTATGATAAGCTTAACCTGGTGAAAGATTAATAGGCCCTAAGTATTAAATCACTGTTAGATGATTTGGGTTTCAGTTATTTATGAAATAATGTGTCTGTTACTGACCTTCAATTAAATAAAGTAATAGAATGCCTATATAGTCAATTTTGTCAGAATTCTTTTGGCACTTAAGACACAATGCCTAAACTTACTACATTTATAAAGTTATAAAAAGAAGTTTTGATATTAAAAAATATTTGTTATGTGTTAAGGTGAATAAGCATAGAATAGCATTAACTAGACTGCGGTGCTCTGCTCAAAAACTTGCAATCGAGTATTATTTTGTACTTGTCTGTCCGTTGCATCGTACTATAAGAGATCAATGTGACCCAAATTATCATTGTCAATCTGGTTTGTTATGTAAACTTGCTAAATATGTCTTCTTGGCTGATAATAAACGTACTAGTCTTATTGCTCAGTAGTAATGGAATAGATGTTGGTGCAGTCATAAAGTGATGCTACAGTATTTTTTGTTGCATACATACAATTGTTACTACAATTCTTTTTAAGATAAGCACATACGTATAAGGTAGGTCACTCCAACAATATGATGCATAAATGTAATAAAGAAACCAGAATGTCACCCTTCGTTTTAGACTTTGTTCTATATGTACATGTAATTGTGATCAATAAGTAAATCGTTCTTATTTTTTCTGATACCATACAGTAACTTTGCTGAAGAAGCATAGCTTTAACTGATTATATAAACCAGTATTTGAATACACATCTTATGTAGGTGGCTGAAATGATTTAATATATTGAAATTGATTATGTATGTTTATATATTATCGTGCTCTTCTCAAATATTGTAACCGCCGTCATCATGTTAAAGGCGACGAACATGTAATGTTCAATGCTGAATAAAGAATTGAATTGAATTGATTATCATCTGTTTCGTCTAAAGTAATAACGACTAGCGGATTATAACGGTTGGCGGGTCATCGAGTTTAATAAAAAAAAATGATGTCGACTAAACCATTTAACCCTTATACTGCTAAATAATCGTCGTATACTTTAATTGTTGTCTGATTGATGTTTAATTTGTATCAATTATCTTAAATTGATGATACTACGGGGTATATTTTTCACACGTCATTTCACGTTGATCAATATATGCATACTTTTCTATTGTTGCGCAATATATTTGTTTGCAGAAACAATAAATTTGTTTGTAATTACTGTACAGTTTTGTGGTGATGACGATAAACAAATGCGAATGTGTACATGCAAATTATATTTGTAGAGTAATGTGACTTAGACTGTGATAAGATGAGCCGTAGAATTTAAAACACGTTTTGTCCAAAGAATGTGCCGCGGAAATAAAGTCCGCAGAAATAAAAACATGCCAAAATTTGGAAAAACCGCAGAATTTGGAGCCCGCAGAAAATAAAAACACTTATACGGTATTATATACCTCTTAATTAGGTTCGAAATTTTAAATACCATTTTCAAAAACTATACTGGCTGTAAACTTATCTTTATGTCAAAAGCTTATCTGGATATCGTGTCAAAGCGAAAGAAGTACAAAGTAACTGCAGTTTCGGTTGACTAAATTTGTTCAATAAAGTTATAAGAAAATGTAAATAGTTTATGTCTTGTATCACTTGCCGAGGCAGTATCACGTTTTTGAAAATACATGTATATTAAAAGTTTACAATTTTTGCCAGATGGACTTTGAAGTTATGTTATAGATTTTTCCCTAATATGAAAATTTATGGTATCAATAAGTCTACAACAGAATATTATATAAGCATACGTATTCATTCTATTGATAAAAATATTTTTCCAAACACTATTAAATATTAATAGTTTTGATGATCGTACGTTTTATTTAATGAAACTATAACCTCAAATTAATTCAATCATCTTTCAAAACAAAATATTCAATAATCAGTAGACGGGATTGTATTTGATATTTGTTAACTACAAAGTAACAATGAAGTTGAGATTATAGATTCATAGTGTTAGAAGTGAAAGGGATTTATTAAAGGAAATAGTGCTTGAAATTCACATAGGCAGGAAAAGAGCACATAGTTTTAATTTGCATTAATAAAATATAAAAGTATAAGCAAAATGACCATTTATTAAGCTGCGGTCTCACTTACTCCCGGCAGAGCCCAGTACCACCACAGTAAGTTACTGGGATGATCCGGGGAGAAAATTATTGTTGTGGTCACACTACGCCGGCAGCATTACGGTAATTCCCAATTAACCACCCAGGATGCGCTCTGGACCACCCAGGCAGAGCCCAGGAGAAGCTACGGATCATTCCCGTGCTTCCCCGGTCGTTCCCGGATGACGCCGGCAGAGCCCAAGTTGACCCAGAAAGAGCCCTGGTCGATCCAGGCAGAGCCCAGGACGATCCCGGCAGAGCCCCGGTAGAACCCCGGTGGATTGAAAATGCGCAAAATGATTACGTTGATACATAATTTTCATTTAATATAATATCTACTGTTTCAAAACAGTAATTCATGATGATTTTCTGAATAATCCTTATGCAAGACTGGACAGAAGGGAAATGGGGAAGGGTTTTAATACAAACAAGTGCAATCATCGCAAATTGTCGAGATTCTTTTGAAATGAACCGAGTATTGCCGGGGCTCTACCTTGATCAACCGTAGTTTATCGTCATCCTCCGGGGCTCTGTCGGCATCCTCCGTGCTCTTCCGTCATTCGCCGAGGCACTGCCGGCATTCACCGGGGCTCTACCGTAGCTCTACCGGCTATATCATACCCCGGATCATCCTCGGTTTGTGCCGGCAGAGCAATGGTGCTTCCCCGGTGTAACCCCTGCCGTTCCCGGCAGAGCTAAGGATGAAGCCGGCAAAGTTATACTTCCCGGATCATCCCGCGCCACCCCGGTGATATTAAATATTTTATTCCATTCGGGGTCGAATGCCGGATGTTTCCGGATCATCCCGTACGTTACCGTTACCGGCAGAGTAACCGGCAGAGTTACGTTACCGGCAGAGTTACGGATGTACTACGGTTAATCCCAGGATCACCCCGGACGTCTTCCGGGGTTCTACCGGGCTATGCCGGGATGTGAGACTGCAGCTTTAGATAAAAAAACACCTTTGTCTTTTTTCTTTGTTTACTTACCAAAGTGATTTTTATGATACGAGTTTGACCGTGTAATTCGCCTGACTCACTCTTCTGAAATGCAGAAACAGAACAAAAATAATATCACCACATAAGAGTGTCCACCGTAAAGTACTTGCTTAATTAAGTCTGGAATTAAGTCTGAATTCGCTAACTGGGAAACGCCACCAAACTACATTTCAAACACAATTATAACAACTTTACGTTTTCTGGAAACTTTAATCAAATCTACATGGCATAGCATTCTCCGAATTTTTATATTTGGTGTAGAGTTTACAAAATATATAAAAAATGAAAACACTTGCCACTTGATTTTAGCGACATGCACTAGCTCGGAAGTAGTGATAGAGCGATTTACCTGTTACCTCCGAAAGAGGTAGCTCTATCATTTTCCAGGCGTGTTAGCAATCCGTTTCCTTGACGACTGCCACAAAATTCTTTCTCACGTCACTTGATCCCGCAGTATCATTATTTAAAACATTTGGGAGACACCAGCCATCATAAATAATACTGCCTTGATTTAATATCTTAACGTATTATATATAAATGAGAGTTTAGTAATTTTTTACACATTTCATTACATATGAACAAGACGATTTAATATCATATTTACAAGACTATAACCTACGCATATTTTCATCCGTCTATTAAGGCAGCACACCACACTAAATGAAGCCACAGCTTCGAATGGCCAGGGAGGATTTCATTGATATAGTGACTATTGTGGATTTAAATGACTGGTTGTCTTTAAAATGCATTTCAGCATGAAATTTGTTTTTGTGACATGTAATATGATCATTGGCAAATTCGAAAACATGGTTAGAAATCACATGCTGATATTTATTGATGTCAAGGCCGCCATTGTTTGTAAACATTGCTTTTAAACAGCATGCTTGATGAAAACAAGTAATTTTACAAGGGGGTACAAACTTTCAGCAATAGCAAAAAATAAACAAGGCCAAGCACCTATTTCTTTGTGATATTTTGCATGTATAGGGAGTTGCTAAAGCAGTGACAGAGTTTCTGTAGACCATATATTTGCAGGTATTTTTTGCCGGAGGGACGAAAAATGTTGTTTTGGGTCTCGGACCACTATAGAGTTTTGGCTTTTACGGAATGAATTGGAATTTTTTAACTGCCTGACTGTTGCACATGGGATGATTTCATTACAGATTTGCAATGTTATGACATATATGTTCTTAACAAAATGTGTTTTCTTTTTCCAGGTTGTGTAGTTGTTCTTAACAAAATGTGTTTTCTTTTTCCAGGTTGTGTAGTTTGGGATCAGATTTATCAGACATATTGCTTGTAGGACATTGACGGCAGAAACTTGAAATTTAGTGTGGAGTGCTACCTTACGCATGTCAGAATAATCATACAGTTTCACTTTAGATATTTTTTTTTGCAAACCTACAGAGATACACTGAATGTACACTATAGGTATCAAATTTCAATGTAAACCTTTTGCTGTGTCTATATACATGTTTAAATGTCAAAAACATTAAATCGGTACAACAGAAAATATTTGAGTTTAGAGAGATATTTTATATCAGTTTAAGAGAGACACGCTGATAGTGTGTAGCGTGTATTTTTTGTTGAGAAGAGAATTTGTTGTTTTGAATGGAGTTTTTTTGTTGGTTTGTTGAAGTTGGTTGAGTATAATTGTGGTGATCTTAATTGATCAGGGTTTATTGGTTGAAATTAGTTGTTTTGGTTGTTGAGTTATATCTATTTGTGAAGATATAATTGGTTGATATTGGTTGAATGTTTGTTTGGTCAAGATTATATTAGTTGATGCTTTGTTTTGAGGATATATGTATTGGGTGCTTTAGTTTAAGTTGTTTCCTGATGCTGATTAGATTGTGTGAAGTTAATATTGTTGGATGAATGTTTGTGGTTTATACTGTATCTTAGAGTTGTAAAAATATTCATTTTTGTGTTCTTCATTTGTGGTGATTTTATTGTTTTGTTTGGTCATAAGTTGTTTAGAGCTTGGGCTCGCCAGGTGTCTAGTTTTGTTTCGTATAAAAGACGTATACGTGAAAAAAAATTTCGTATAAGTGGTTGATAAATGACGTGTGTTTGTTTTGGGTGTAAATAATGATCAGAGTATTTTGTTTTGGGTGTAAATAATAATTTGAGTTTGTTGTTTAAATGTATATATGGATTTGAGATAGAAAAAGATAAAATACCTAAACAAATTGTGTTAACTAAACAATTACATGCTAGTTTTTCCAACTGAGAAAATTTCAATTTTATGTCAGGCGTTGCTGCCCAGCCCCCATATCTTGGAAATTGGTTCTAGTATTTATTACTAAATCTTTCCTTAGATTAAAGAACATCAAGGCAGTTAATTCTCCTGACAATTTGGGGGCTCGTCCGGGATATTCTCTTTAAGTTGGAATCTTTCCTGGCAAAAAATTGTTTGTTAAACTTTGATAAAATTTTGGTTAAACCTTAAATCATTTTCGATCTGTTGGTAAAATAGAGCAGTGTAAAGCTAGGCGAAATTTACGAAAGACCGGTGGTGACTTCTGACTTCAGAGTTCGGATTTCAGACTTCAGAGTTCAGAGTTCAGACTTCGGATTTCAGACTTCGGATTTCAGACTTCAGATTTCAGAGTTCAGATTTCAGACTTCAGAGTTCAGACTTCGGAGTTCGGATTTCAGACTTCAGAGTTCAGAGTTCAGACTTCGGAGTTCGGATTTCAGACTTCAGACTTCAGATTTCAGAGTTCAGACTTTAGACATAATAAAAAGCCACGTCATTACACGTCATTTCCGCACTTTCAGTTCAGTGATTAGTACGCCATGGGAAAGGGCATGTATTCTTGGAGGTTATTGGTAAGTTATATATTAGTACATTGTCTTTGTATTTGGCAAATTATATTTGTATGGTTGAGTTTATTTTAATACATGTTATTCTAGAATGTAATAAAATTTCTCAAAATTAGAATACTGTTTTGTTTGATGATAAAGTTGGTAAAATGTTATCAAACTTAGCCTCGAGGCACCAGTAATCAGACGATTAATACACTTACTTCCCTGCAAAGAGAAAACAATGGGATATATTGTGTATTTCTTTTGTTTTTCTTTTTGTAAATTTTTACTATGGACGACAACAACCATGTTCTCAAGTCATATTTATTATCTCTTTCGGCATCGATTTTAAGGTCAAAATAAAAACTTCAAAGCAATTGTCCCTTCTCAAAATGATGACCTAATGATAATTGGTTCCTGTCGATAATTGGTCCCTTTAGGCTAAATGATAAATCGTATGTTTTACAAAGTTTTTTTATTTTGATCATTTTCAGATCTTTATACTATGGTCTTGTTCTATTGTCGATCCAGTACTTGCTGTGTTGCCAGTTGACAAGCAAAGAACTCAGGTGTTTCAAGTAAAGTTGGATCTAATGCAGCATTACTTCTGTCGTGGATACAAGTACAAGGAAATTTTAGCTACACTTTTGGTCATTCATGGAATAAGAATAAGTTATAAACAATTAAAACGACTGTTAAAGCGAATGGGCTTATTTAGAAGAGGTCCAGAGTCTCAAATTGAAACGATTATAAGTGCCATTTTAAAAGAAATATCTGGAAGTGGTCGATGTTTGGGTTATTAGACTATGTGGAGGCGGCTAAAAGATTTCTATGGATTACATGTACGTAGAAAAACTGTTCTTCGTTTGATGTGGATAGCGGACCCAGAAGGTATGCAGAGACGGAAGGCCAAGCGTCTACTTCGTCGCCAATACTCATGTCCTGGTCCTGACTTTATCTGGCACATCGACGGATATGATAAAATTAAACCCTTCGGATTTGCAATTCACGGGGCAGTAGACGGATTTAGTAGAAAGATTATATGGCTTAGGTTGGGTCCAAGCAATAATGATCCAAAAATAATAGCTCGTTATTTTCTAAACAGTGTAAAGGAAAGTGGTGCTTGCAAAGTTCCAGCAGTGATACGCAGTGATCTGGGTACAGAAAATACAATAATTCGACAGTTGCAAATATATTTCCGTTTGCACCACCATGATGATCATTCAGCTGGAAAAGGCTTCATTCAAGGTAAAAGTACCTCAAATCAAAGAATATAATCCATGTGGAGCATGCTTAGACGTCAGTGCATGGACTTTTGGATAAGTTTTTTCAAAGACTTGCGAGACATAGGTATCTATTTCGATGGTGATATGTTCCAAAGACAATGTTTAATGTATTGTTTCACACCTGTTATACGAAGTGAATTAATTAAATTTACGAATGAGTGGAATTCACATGATATTTCTAAGGGGAAAACAGATTGACCACGAGGTAAACCTGATATCATGTATACATTACCTGAACTATATAACACTAAGAATTATAGCCACAACGTTAACAAAGAAGAAGTTGATGTATGTACGGAAATATATTCGAAACCACCTAACCTTGAAGGCTGTTTTCCTGAATTCTGCCGATTGTTCAAACTTGTTAACCCGACAACGCCGACCACAGCAGAGGAAGCATTTGATCTATATTTAGAAATAATTTCGCAGATTCGAAATTATCTATAAAACGAAATAAAATTTGACTTGACTAAATTGCCTCAGATCATTAAGATCATTTAGATACAGTATAAATATAGAGGATATCACATGAGTGTCTTTTCATATTGAATTTATTAAATGAGTTTGATAAAATGATGGATTACGGGGCTCGGTCGAGCATGTTATCGTCAATGAGTTTAATAAGTTCAATGTTAAAAGACACGAATGTAATATTCTTTAATATCACATGTTAATTTAAAGGGGATGTCTTCCAGAATATGAGTATTTTTCTTTTCTTCGGGAAATTTATTTCTGGACACACTGAGATCGTAAGAACAAACTATTGAATAAACTGAATTTAATAAATAAAAGAGTGTCACCAGCATGGCTCGAACTCACGCATATAGTTCCAAACTCTTGACGCCTCGACAGACTGCGTCACAAACACTGTTGATTAAGACGGAACTAAATTCAATTTTATACAAATCAACTTATACCGTAGCGCTACGCTATAGATTTAAAGGTGTTAAAAA